ATGATGTACCTTGTAGAAGCTGCTCCAAAGGTGGAGGTGAAAAAGAGGAGGCGAAAACAGAGGAGGAGGAATCGTAGCTGCTGTCCGACCATCACACTAACTCGAGTAATCAGAGAAGACGGTTCTATTATTCTGCCCCCCCCCTTCCCCTGTTTCGGAGGCACACGATATTTCCTCGGTACCCTTCTTCACCTTGGCCAAGTTCCTCGCACAAATAACGAGCAAGGCTAAACTAGAGTCTAACCGCAGGGCGACCAGTCCAATCCTTTCTTGTCCCTCCGCCACTGGTCCAAAAACGGTCCAACCAGGTGCGATTGTAATTTTTAAAAACCCTCATTGATTTTGGAGACTGAAAATCGGGAAGGATGAAGAAGGGAGAGACTTACATAAACTTGTGTTTAATGTATTTATTTGTAATTTGTTTTATTTGATTTTGAAAAATGTGAAAGTAGGGATCGCTCAAATGATGTCATTTTTGTGAGTTTTGAGAAAACGGGCTCTGATTTATCCTGAAAGTGTCAGTATACGGCGATAAGGCGGGTGGCCCACATTGAGTTGCCTCCCTCACCCTTATTTCAGTCCTCAACATTCAAGATTGGACTGCAGCCGTCCTGACAAAGGCACCACCACATTCGAAGTTCTCAGGTATGACAAAAATACGCCAGGGAAAAAGAACTGTACCGTAACTTAGGAATGAAATCAAAAGACGGTAGCAGCCCAAGGTGGGCTACCCGGCCCACCGCTAAGCACTGGCCCACCTGGGCTGCCTACACACACAACGCGCGGGCAGGCGCCTGTGCAGCTCCTGGTAGGCCACCCGCCTCGCCGCCGTGCGCCCGCCCGCCCGGACGGCCTACCCACCGGGCGGGCAAGCGCCTGTATAGCTCAGGGTGGGCCACCCGCCCAACCGCCGTGCGCGGGCCGGCCCGGGCTGCCTACCTCACGGGCGGACAGGCGCCTGTGTCGCTCAGGGTGGGCCACCCGCCCTACCGCCGTGCGCGGGCCCGCCTGAAGATGCCTACCGAACAGGCGGGCGGCCGGGCGCTTGAACAGCTCAGAATGGGCCACCCGCCTCACCGCCGCGGCTTCTCGCACGGGCTCCGCGGACGCACCAGGTGGGGCGGGGGCGCACCAAAACGCCGACTGAGTGTTTTAAAGGCCACATTGGGCTTGGTTTCTTCTGTTATTGAAGTCCGACCCGCTTCAGCGCGACGCGGTTCGCGGTGTTTCTCAGAGTGTGGCGCGGCACGCAACGCGACCCAGAACAAGCCGAGCAGGCGGCGTGCGGCGCCTGGCGTGGCGGGGCAGGGCGGGCGGCGGCCGAGTCAATCTCCGTCCTGTCCATACCGCCGTTGCCGCGCCGCGCTGGAGCGCTGCCAGGTCAGGCCGACTCAAGGGAGCGATTCAAATCGACTGGAACTTGGCGTGACGAGAACACTGATCGCGCACTGAAGGAGGGCGGGATACCGTCCTGCGAGTTCCCCTGCGCACACCCTCAGTAACTCAGATCGTAATCAGTCGTGTTACTGCTTGATCTTCAGGTGCCGGCGACGACGTCACGGTGCTGGACGCGCGTCACTCCGTCGTGTTTTCACCCCACCCCTCGTGCGTTTGCCTCATTTCTCCTCACGGCGATGTCCAGTATTTAAGAGCTGCCACTTGTTTGTTGGCGCAACGCATCATCATCATCTCTTTTCAAATATTGAAGTAATGGCGCTCTGTATTTCCATCGTAGGGACTAGAGGAGGGGGCGGAGAGTAGCCCCCCCCCCTTCTCCACCCCCGGCCCTCTCCCAGGCAACCGGTCGGATCAGTCCAGTGTAGTCCACTTGATGCAAGTCAGCAGTACTGGGTCAGCCAGCGGCGCTCAGCTCGGCAGCCGCCTCTGCGGCCGCGCTGCTGGGGCCAGCAGGGCCAGCTGGGGAACAGCCCGGGCAAAGCTCATTCATTGCAACGCCCAGCCATGGCTGAGCTGGGCTCCCTTTTACGGTGCTTCCCTTCGACCGAAGGATTGTAAATGAAACTTGGAAAGAGGCGGTTCAAAAAATGAATAAATATAAACCTGGAGCTGGAACAACTGTGACAGAAGACACCCTACCAACTCCAAATGATGAAACTTTGTGCACGGCCCCACATAACTGGTCTCGCGTGTCAAGATGACACCACCCGACGCGCCAGAAATCACACGCCACATGTTGTTCCATTCCAGAACTTTTTGTTTCTTTGGAGGTGTCCTGTAGCACACATTGTCCATTGGACGGCTGAACATATCCTTTTCGCCCAGCAGTCGTTATGGTCAGTGGGTTGCTGGCTGAGTGAACACTGGGGCAAAAGGGCTCCGCCCCCCCCCCCCACTCTCTCTCTCTCCCCGCTCGGTGTAGCCCGGCGCAGCTCGCTGTGGCCCGCACCGGCCCGCGCCGCCGCCTCACAGGGCATTGACAGTGCAATCGCCTGCAGTGTGTTAAGAAGTGAAGAAACAACCTTGGGGCCGGATGGCATACTGGCGTAGCGCAGGTACTGCTAATGGCACCCCCAGGCTTGCCAGCCCCGTCCACACAGAAATGGAATGGTGGACTAAACGATGTCGAAACATTGTCAAATCAAGGTATTTTGCACCCGACTTGTGTCCATCAGGAGACCCGACCCTGCCGCTTTTCTCCCCTTCGACACTTGACATGTCGTCTGCGAAGCAAGTGTTGCAACTGCTACGCTGTATGAATCGTTTATTCACCTGTGATTTTTATCAATCCGCACGCGGTCGGACTCGCTCGAAGGTGGGAGAACTGGCCTGGCGAAGCTGCTGTCACCACAGCGAGAGGTATCCGCGGTGGCCCGCGGCCCGTGGCCTGCGGCCCGCTTCACTCCAACTCTTCTAACAAGAACGGCTCAATTTTTTTTTCTCATGTTGTGATAAAAGCGGCCTCACCCCCGTGCAAAGGCCACGCGCACCACGCATACGTGACCACATTCACTTTTTCCCGATAATTGCTCTGCTTTGACTTGCGCAACGGCTGGTCCACGCCGGCCGCCAGTGGCGCCGCCGCCCCGGTCCCGTCCCGAGGGAGGCTGTCGTGTCACGTGCGCTCGCGGGAGCGGGGCTGCGGGGGAGCGGAGGAAGCGCTGCACGCCCCGGCCCGTCGCCGGCCCCGCCCCACC